CCCCTGACAGGATAGTCTCCCCCCCTCCCCTCTGACAGGGATAGTCCCCCCCCCCTCTGACAGGGAAAGTCCCGCGCTGTGAGGAGCATATGTGAACGGCTAGGTCGGGAGAATCTCTGGAGAAGTCCTCCTGTAAATATCTAGATATTATCCAGAGTGCATATGTGAAAACGGTTTATGATGTACCGTCATTGTTTTGTGGTTTGGATCATCAGTCTTAAGCCAGTTCTTATATTTGGTCTCCTTTCCAGCTGCGAGGAGAATCTTTACCAAGTATTCTCCTGAATGCACAGTTTTTTCCAATAATCCCAGGTATAAAAGGAGACACAATGGCTTTCATTACCAAACACTTTGTTGAGAACAGAATGTATACTCGCACATCCAGATTTAATCCTAGTAGTTTCAGAAAATGTGTACGTTTTTTTTTTCTGTGTGGTTGCATAATCTCCAGAATATATTATGAACATTCATCTGTTTAACTTTATTTTAAGTGTGATGAAATACCTCATTTGATTCTTCCACATTAATTCTCTCCATCTCAGTGATTATGTCGTAGTTTTAATTGTTTTCCAAATATCAAACCACATCTTCTTTGGGGACATCCTCATTCAGCTCGCTTTCCCATTCAGCCTAGACTCATTGTTGAATCATTTCTAGATTCCTTTATATTCGTAAGAGCTATTCCCCCTTTGTCTTTAGTTAGCTGAAATGTGGCGGTCTTTAACTTTTTAATAAAAATCTTGATAAGCTTATCCCATTTGATAAATTGAGCTTGTTGTATGTTGACGGTAGAGATATGTAGCGTAATTAAATTACTAAGATGTTATATCTTTATTTAACCTCGTATTTAAAAGGGGCACCACTTCCTGTTAAAGGAAGAAAATAACTTTAATAGTTTAAGTTAATTAATTAATCAGTCAGTTTCATATCTTAAAAGAAGTAAGTTCTGGAAATGTTAAACAAGAAAACACACAGACAAAGTCCTGAATATTATGTGTAAAATTTAATATAAAAGGGGTAAACAATAATGTATAGATGAAACAGATAAAGAATATGATTATTATGATCAGGATAATGCAATTATAATGTATGGTGACATTATATATTTAGTAATGAGATTAATGAGATCTTACTGTGAGATGTGTTCAATTGAACTCCGCCGGCTGGTCCCGCGTTTCAGTCTCTGGAAGGCAGTTCTTTTCAGGCCCAGAGAGGTCCACGGGCCAGATTAGATGCTCTTGACACCTTGGTCGGAGTATTCAGCTGGGATGGAGATCGTACGTCGGTTCAGCCGTCGTCTCAGAAGCTCCAAGAGGATCCAACAGGAAAAAATATTAAAGAGTCTTTTGATACGTTGATTTCCAATTCAGATTAACCGGATGGCCATCTTGATGAATCCAAATTAAGGAATTGGCGTTCAAAATTGAAGATCAAAGACTTTGGAGAAGAAAGTTTAAAAACCTTGCTTGAGCCAGAAAGAATTGATGTTCCAAAAATTGTGCGTGAAAAATGAAGTTCGGCAGAGACTCGTCTCTACGGCACAAACTTAAAAGAAGTGATTCGGACCGAAGAGAAGCGAGCAAGAGCTGAAGCTCTAAACTTCAAGAAACCAAAACTAAAAAGAACTAAAGATCTGAGCTCAGTGTGAACTCTTATCACCTGGATGGGAGGAGGGGGGTCTGCAGGCAAAGAGGGGTGCTGCCCACGAGTGACTCTGACCGGAGGATTTGTTTAAACTAAACCGAGTTTACTCAATAAGATTAAGAATAAGAATCTAAACATATATATGTCACCATACATTCATTTCGATATTATTTCTATCAGATCCACGTTGATGTAGGTTCACGTCATATATTTAGACAAACATTTCTATCGGCTTCATGTTGAGATGAAAATCACACCATCTGGGAACATCCTCAGTCAATCCCAGCCTGTAGGTGAACAAAACCATGTTATACAGTCAACATTCTTAATAAGGCATATTAATAAAGTAGGAAAAGACACTGCTGTCTTTAAATAACACCTTCTATAGCTAATATCAAAGAGTATGCTTTATAACACGTCTAAAGGTATAATTATGAAGGTTACATATTTATGGATATTCTAACACTTGATGGCAATAGCGCGCCACGTCAAATTCCTATTAAACATAATATAACTCTTATTGCCGTTCTGAAGATCAGATGTAATGTTTTTAATAAAATTCTAGCTTTTTTGTTTTTCCAGTAAAATTGTGATGATAATGAGTCTATTGTTTTAAACCATTTGTCAGTGGGAGTGATGGGGAGCATTGAGAATAAATCATTAATCTGTGGTAGGGTTTTCATTTTACCTGTGGCGATTCGTCCAATGAGAGTGAGTGGTAGTTTGGTCCAGCTGTTATACTATTTTCAACTAACACATCGCCACTGAGGGAAGATAAATTGGCTATAGTAGCCAAGTAATGGTGAATGGAAGGTCATGATTGGTCCAATGTCGTGTCTTCCTAAAGGTCAAAATGAATAAACTAGTGCAGAGCTAAAACCGATGTTTTAAATCAAATTATGGATCTTTTTGGATGTTTTGTGTTTGGATTAAATCTTTTACTGGATTTGGATCATAAGGATGCTTGCTGATGCAAGACTGGAAGAGCACAGCAGACCTAGACAGCGAAATGAATCAGAAAGGCTTGTTTGTTTGTCGGTGGTCTGACAGATGCGTAGATTGTGGCTGCTGTGTTGGTTGGATCTTGAAGTTGTTTACACGGTCAGAAGTATGGCATGAATGATATACACAGAACAACAGTTGTTTAAATTACTTTAACATTTAGAAAACATAGTCTGCTGGCAGGTAATACATGAAAAATGTTTCTGTTCATCTAAGATCTTCACCACAGACAAGTTTGTGTAATTTTGAGTTTTTTTTCATCACAGCTTCTTAACATTGCAAAAAGCCAATGTTTTTGTTGTTATGTGCGTTTAACCTACCTGCATGACAATTGATGGGCATATGCACCGTGTTGAGACAAACTGAAGTCTACTCTGACTATGTGCAAAAACCTAAAGGAAGTCCACCATTTTAATTGAATTTCAAAATATGGAAATTTACAGGCTTCACACTTAAACCAACTCGTCATAGGTGTTTCATCTGATGAACTCAGAAATTGGTCGGGTTGTTGACAAGTCAAAGATTAAAATGTATCTAAATATTATGTAGCCGTCAAAGGGTGTGTTAAATTGTTCACCGTAAAACAGGAAGTTGTTTTTTGACTGGCTAAACATACTGGTACAGTCACAAAACTTAATAGAACTGAGACAAACATGATGGAGTGGGATGGCTCTGTATTAAAGTCGGCTTGTCGGGTGATTTAAGGTGTGATGAGTGGCTGAGTGAAGATGCTGCTGCAAGATTCTTGCTAAAGCAGAGATAGTGTTGTTTCTTCTGCTGTTTGTCCCTACTACAGCGCACCTTGTTTTACTCAACATTACCCGACACACAGTGAGCACGCCAGCTTCCTTTCATAGTTTCAGCTTTTTGTAGCAATTTTTTTTAAAAAGACGACAGACAAGTTACAAAATAGTACAAAGACAGTTAATAATCACATAATTAACATTGATGTGCCGCTGTTAAACGTCAACTTAGTTGAGGAGTTAAAAACAAACCATGATTGTCCTCTTGCTGTAAATAATGATGATGATGCTGGACATAACAACTAGGGATGGGACAGATCCAATTTAATATCGTTATCGGGTATATTGACATGATTAACAAATGGGTTATTGGACTGACAGCGTCAAAATCAATTATTGCACTTCAGTTTTAAAATATTTGATTTGAAAACCTCACACGTGTTGCCACTGCCTGTTTGTATGTGAACTCAGCACAAAGTTCAAATACATTTCTTTGGATTGATTTACATTTTTGTGAATCTTCATTTATTTATTTTCTTGCTCTTTAAATAAGAAATTCAATGCTGGGTGTACTAAAGCTTTGTGTAGCCTTACATGTAATACTTACAACTATAACACTATGAATTATGATTTAAAAAATCAATATCTGTGTCGTTACTTTTTCTCTTTCTCTTCTTTAAATGTTTTAGCCTTTAAATGTATCCCTTCCTGTATTCATTTTACTGCTCTTAGTCTTTTTAAATTCCTACTTCTTTTATTGTTTAACTCTTTAGCTCTCTGTTGCTTTATTCATTTAACCAATGTCCTGTTTATCCTTTCTTTTTATCTTCATTCTGTGTTTACAGCCTGTGATGTGATGTCGTACCACTCTCCCTCAATTTTAATTTTGTTCTCTCCTGGTTGATTTTAAACTAATCACTGTGTTGAACTGCCTCTCCATACCTGCCTGTTGAATCTGTCTTATTCCTGTTATTTGCATTTTTACAATTTTGCCCTCTCTGTTGATCTTTGTTCTGTTGTTGTGTTGCTGTATTTGCTCTGTCTGTCACAGCACTTTGTAAACATTTGTTTTTAAAGATGCTATATAAATAAAGCTATTATTACTATTATTATTATTATTATTATTATTATTATATGTATCTGAATCGGATTGGAACTGAATTTTTTTGTATCCATGCATCTCTAATAAGAACCCCATACAAAGACCTAAAACATTATCAGTATATATTGCATCTTTATGTTGAAAAGAGACAAATGAGTAGGTTTTGTTTTCTTTATTGATATTGAAAACATCACTTTTGTCTGAATAATTAAGTTATGGTAAAAAAAAAAATATGATAGCTTTGCATCTCACATTTTTGATAAATATGAATACTTACAGATTTCTCTTATATTAGATATAAATATTGTATCAAATAACAGTCCACATGTAACAAACATTAAGTTAATTTAAGTAAAAAAATAGAGAAATGCATAATGAAACAGAGGTTAAGAAACATTTCTAACCTTCACCCAGCAACAAGTATTGTCAGGTCTAGAATAACATTTACTGTACAACAGTAAGAGTGGTGCAGACACTTCGGGGACTGCTGTGGTTCTTCTTCCTCCTGATCATGCGTGTGTTTTCTGGGCCTCCAGCCACTCCAGCACAGTGTCCAGTTCTCCCATAGCCTTCTGGGCCGCCGAGTCAATCACCAGCTGCTCCGAGAAAGGAAGAAAGAACAGGTGATTTAATAATGCGCAACAGAGTCCTGTAACCTTTAGTGGTCAATTTAAGCTACATTTGAAGTGATAAGTCACATTTAAAGCCCATTCAGTTATTTGCTTTGTTTGCACCTCTCAGGATACTCAGCAAAAACATATCATTTGATTTATCTATAACCTCCAAAGAACCATTTCTTACTAATGAAGTTACGAGGGATTGTGCTTTTAGAAAACAAGGAGTGAAGCCTGATTTTATTTAATATAATACAATTTTCCAAATAGAACTGTGTGAATTGTAAACCAAATGTAGTGGAAGCTGAACACAATGTAGAGATATTAATGATTTTAAGGAGCTGCTTTGATAATGAGACATACCTTATCAAACTCAGCATGCAGGGAGTCGATGGTTTTCTGTGTCTCTTCTGCACATTGGCAGTGCTGAACGAATGAGAAAAAAAACAATATTATATAGTTGTTCTTTTGCTGGTTTTTAATTGAAGCACAACCAAGTCTCAAATGTTTTGATCTAACTTACACATTTATGTATGTCTCTTCTGATGCTGACAAAAGCGTTGGCCAAAGCGCTGGTGGAGCGTTGCTGTGTTGGCTGAGACGAGACGTAGTTGCTGAACACTCTCTCAACGTAGAAACGCAGCACAAGACGCAGGAAACAACATGTCTGTCCCTCCTGAAGAGAAAGACAAATAGAGGTCACTCACTGATATTATAAGCTTATACTCGTGATAACACCTTTAGCCATCCATGGAATAGGACTGAGAAATATTGAAATTTAAATTAGAAAAAAAAGAGAAAGGAACCAACACTACATGGTATAAAACAAACACTCTGGACTCACCTGAACATCCTTTATTATTTTTTATCCAGGAGTTTCACTCCAATGTCACTGTTTTCTTCTATCTGAAAGGCAAAGTCCAAAAGAAAAAAGTCTATCCCAAGTTTTCGGCACGTTTCAATTCACTGAAAACTTTTATAAACAATGTTCACTGTCTTCAGTTTCGGTGTTTATCTACTCCTACGTGTAAAATGTGACAGGTACATTTGTTGATTCCTCTGATTAAATTAAGATTGTGCCAAAGTTCAACTTACCGCATTTGTTCTTATTGCAGAGTAATATTTGCGTAGTTCATGTGTGTGAACACTGACAGAGCAGCTGTCCAGATGCAGAGTGCCACTCTCCACATATCCACTCATCCAGCCGAGGAGGACAAGCAGGCAGAGAGAGCAGCCCAGAAGCATCTTCATCACTGTGGTCGTCTGGTGAAAAAGCTAACAGACACAAAGTTCAAAGTTAAAGAGAATCAACGTTCACCAATTAGGATATTTGTAATCATGAATCATGGTTTTAATATATATTGCTTATCATTATAAAGTCTATAAGATAAGAGCAGCATCACCTGTGTGTACACTCACCTGTGTTTGTATAAACCTGAGGAAGAGTCCTTGGAAAGATGTGCTTCTGTGTCTCCATGCTCTCTCCTCTTATAGTGGACTGTAGGGGATTTTACCAGGTAAGGCACAACACAACAACACACAAACACACACGCACACACACACACACACACACACACACACACACGTGTTCATGCAATCAATTTGATTTACAGGAGGAGGAAGTGTTTGAAAATAAAGGAAATTCTAGCAGATATTCCAACACCTGATTGATTTCCTTTTCTGTGATGACTGATGTGCTCACTGTAGAGCAACACCTCAGTCAGTGATGTAAGGGATAATTAACAAATGAGTCATTCATGCGTGTAGTAGTGTGTCGTCATTCCTCTGCAGCGTTGAATTATTCTTCCTCGTTATGAAGAGGTAATTGCATCATTGAGTAATGATATTTAAATGTGTTGATCATAACTACTAAAGTCATCTACAGCATAGTTGAGCTTTACACAAATACAGTAACACCAAGTGTTTCTGTTCTCTTAGACCTCGGACTTAAACCTGTGTCTGCTCCAGCAGGTTTATTACATTTTCATTTACAATATATGCTCCAATTAAATCCTCATATTCATTTTGCTTGAGAAACTCTCTCTTGCCTTGAGATATTGCTATAAGCTGTCAGTCAAGTCCTGATGGGAACACCTACCCGACCTGTTCGGCTGCTTGTCTAGCGAAGGTTGACTATAATGATTGCTGAAAAATTTCTTACAGTGGAAAGAATAAACAGGGAAGTCCGAGGAAAACTGGTATGACCTGTGTTCATGGAAGTGCCAACAACGTTTAAACAAGTGTGAACAGGGAAGTGCAGCATTTCCAAATTTTGCTTGATAAAAATAGCTTTTTTGCGGTTCCTATAGCTCAGGTGTTTAATGCCTGTTTTGAAACACTAGAGGTCGTTACAAAACTTTGTGAGCAAGTGTTTGGCTTTGTGTAGCAGTCTCAACAGCTAAAATAGTACATGTTAGTCAAAATCATTAATCTTTATATTATTCTCTGTTTCTTTACTTTGCTTCAAACCTACTGTATGTTACATAGTTTCTGAGATGGAGCACAATTGGCTTTTACATGTCATTTAAATATTTACTGTGCAGCAGAAATGAGAGCTGAATACACTTGACGCACTGCAATATAAGAAAACATCAAGGCTACAATTAAACAAGACACAAGTAAATAAGTAAAGCTATTTAAATTCAGCTGATCAAAAATTCCACCAAACTACCAAATTCCACTGTAATACTGCTGTATGTCCTTAGTAAAACCCAATATTCAAACACATTTTAATGCATTTGAGCTCCAAGTGGCTCGATTGACACTGGCAGTGTTTCAAGGGGTAACTGTAACGATGAAAAACACGAGCAGGCCAGGCTGTTGCCATAGTTTCAGACTTATTGCTGGAGTCAGATATCTGTCAGCTTTATTGGAAATTGAGCTACAGTGTAAGTTTTCTCGAGTTATTTTAACATTATGTTCCCATGATTTGAACATTTCTGCAGATGTATTGCTGTTGGCGTTAGCTCTTCACTGACTTTAGTCTGTAAATGAACATTATGTAGATTATAAAATACACACAGTGTGGATGACAGCCTTCTTTTTCAAAGTAATTCGCCTTCTTACGCGAGCTTTAGATTGTTTCATTTGTGTTTATTTGACACATTTACTCACTGTCACTGTAGAGAAACTGCTACCCTTGAGACATTGTAAACTAAGTGTACATTAGTTCAAGATTAACTGCCACAAAACTAAACAAAGAACATGAGTTTCAGGCTTTCCATATGTTTCCTGAGTTATGTTTTCTTGTTTTTTGTGTGTTTTTTACAAGAATATGCCTTCAATAATTTCACATCTCCGCATGTCTTTAGGCAGGAGCATGATACAAATGAAAGAGACTGACCAATGAAAACATTGCTTTGTAGCACAATTGACGGAAACAAACTGCACAGGATACATTTATGAATAATCCCAGTCTAAAACAAAAAGACTTCAATTTGCTTATAGTTTGTGATCTAAGTAGAATTAAACATCAAACACGATAAAACGATGGAAGAAAAAAGGTTTATTTTAATATTTGTACAAAGCTTATTTATACAGAAGAATAATATACAGGAGAGTAGGAGTCGAAAGAAATAACATTTTTACATGGAGCACCTTGAAAATATCAGGCACATCGGGGGTTAATCGGTTCTTTTGACATTCACTGCCACGTTACTCTGGGCACATCTGCTAGTTAACATAACTACCCTCATATCTGTAGCATGTGTGTCAATGTACCTTTAATTTCAAAATACAAAACAAAGAAAAAACACCAAAACCCTAAATGTAGATATATCCACTCTTTCAAGATTTAAAATCCAGTCTGATGACTCCTTTGTGTCTCTTTTCATCCATGAAACTAAAAAAGCTTAAACAACTTTACAGCTATTTCATTTACACAGATTCCCTCTGTCAGTAATGTATCATGGATGTACATTGTGCTTAGATCAGCAGTTTGTACATACTGGATGTGTGTAACTGTGTGCTTTGTGTGTGGTTTGTGTGCACGTGCATGCCCACAGTTCTTCTCCTAAATGACGATAGAGTGGAGCTGTCTGAAGCACATGATGACATCTACAGGGATGGGGGGGCTCAGATGATTCCCGTCCAAACGCAGGTACCTGAGGCATCAGAACAGGTTCTTTAATAACACTGCAATTACTGCCATTAATATTGTTGTTCCTGTTTACTTCTTGTTAAAGTGTGCCTCTGCGCCCGTTTGTATTATTGAGAGCCAAGATCTGACTGCGTTTGACATACCTTAGACTGGGCACTAGATTGTGATCATTCATGACGGCGTCGATGCTGTACGGGCAGATCAGGGTGCCATTTATGCCTGTCAGGGAAACACACATGTTAAGTCCTTCTAAATGATTTCCTTCAAACAAGACGGAAGAAATAGGAAACTACCAGTTGAATAAAAGACAGCTTCCTTAACTTTAATACTATTAAAACAATAACAATAATAATTGATTTAATTAGTTTCCTTTTAAAACAGCTTTAAAACTAGAAATGAAGAACAACTGTAAAGCCCATAAATGAGGTCACACAGATGAGCAAACAAGGATAATTATATTATTGAAAGGACAACAATGGTAATATAATGAGATGCATTTACTGCATTATTTCTGAAGGGTGATTTATTGTCTGCTAGCTTTAAGCTAAGTGTTGCGGCCCAATCTGGAAAAACAAGTTCAGCTTTGGTCTTGAATCAGAATAAGTTAGGTTAAGTAAACAAAATTACTGCCTTAAAAGGAGTTTCTTGGATTAACTCTATCAGTTTCTCTTAGCACTGTGCTAGCATTCACCAGCAGTGCTTGGTTGAAGTGCTTCATGTTCTCCTCTTAGCTTTGCTCACATTGGTTTGATGAAGTATTTTTTCTCATAATCCACAATGAATGAATCCACTAGTTCTTATTCCAAAGTTTTCAAATACAAACAAGCCCCCTCAGAGTCTCATAGCGATGCACAATGTACCCTTTAGCCTCTGTTTTCTTGTGAAACATTCACAGTGAGGTTATCTTTTTGTCATCAAAACGTAAATAATATTGATGGGTTTACTATGGTGTTAGCTATAAGACAGTCTGTGTTGGGTTTCTGCTGAGCTGTCATATGTAGGTCTAATACTATCTGAAGCCTGGTTTTTGTTTTTTCCCCTATCTTCTCGAAAAATCTTTCTCACAGCCTGCTAAGCTAGTCCTTAAAGGGATACTTCACCCATTAGCATTAATCTTTGTATCATTAGAAACCTTGTAGTATTTTTGAATGGTCGTGCATCCCGCCCTCATTTTCCCCTGAGATGTGAAATCTTTGTATTTCTGAGTCTGAAGAGGAGCTTCCAGTGACGCAAAATGACGATAATTGCGTCATCGGAAGCTGTTGCGGTTAGCGGGGTGAAACTACAACGCTAGTTCCTCATATTTTCGACCACTGAAGCTAAAGACCAATCACAGATCAGTGGGTGGGAACTCACTCCCAGAATCGAAACTTAACGTCCGCCATATTGCTTGGAAGCTATGCTAACAGGCTCTATGGAGAAAGCTGATAATGGCAAAAAAATATAAATATAGCGACGACACGGCTGCTGCCGAGAGGCTGGTCTTGTGTTTTGGCTGCTGCCTGCCGGGGCCACCGCTGCCCGCCGCCCGCCACTGACGCTGCTGGCCGCTCGCCGGGACACAAGACCAGCCTGTCGGCAGCAACCGTCTCACGGCTATATTGCTGGCCGCCGCGGCAGTGAGGACGAGGAGCTCGAGCTGGGGCAGACTGGTAGTGTCGGTGCTCTCACTGTTTGCCTATGGACACAGACATAGAGTCTGTTTTCTCTCTGAATCAGTTGAGGAAACGGTATGTGTTGAAGTAAATATGTCTGTAAATGTTTTTATTTCTATATTTCTACTGCTATACTGTATATTTTGGAGAAACTGTATCGATCGAATTTCCCTCTGGGATTAATAAAGTATTTCTGATTCTGAAATCGAGGACCTTAGTGGGAGTGGCCCGAGTGCTGTACATTCTGGGAGTTGGTGTTTTTCATCAACATGAGCAAAAGACACTTTCTGCCTTTTCACGGCCAAGAAGGCACCAACTTCAAAATGTATTTCACATTTCTACTACATATATGACCCAATGTCAATACAGATTCATATTTCAACGAGTGAAGTATCCCTTTAACTGTTTTAACCAACTCAGGTTAACTTTCCATCAGCCATTTTGTGCCCTATGGTTGTTGTAAACTGGGTTCATATGATCCTGCTGACTGCTTACTCTCAATGCTGTTGTGGTCGAGGTGCAGGTGTTCCAGGTGACTATTGAAGTGAGGAACAGAAGCGAGCTGGTTGTGGGACAGCTGCAGGTCCAGAAGAGTGGATATGTTAAAGACATTCTTAGGAAGACCTTTATCACTCAGCTGGTTGCGATTCAGCCTCACGAATGCCAGGTGATTGAAGTCTTTGAAGTAGTCTCTAACAGGAAGACAATGCATGACAGGAACAACAGTGAAAATTTAAGATTCAACCAATGTTATGCATATGTAACCATCTGTGCACTGTGTACTTGCTTTGGGATATCATCTATGCTGTTCTTGTCCAAGAAAAGCTGTATGAGGCCATTGGGTACACCAGCAGGCATCTTCTTCAGGGCGTTGTGAGCCAGATTGAGCTGCATGAGACTCTTCAGGTCCTTAAATGAGTTTTGTCCGAGGCCGTTGTCACTCAGCTGGAAGACAGGTCATAAGACTTTTATGGTTACCATGGTTACGTATGGTTAACAATACAACGTACAGTAGAAATATAGTCATAAAACAGAGGTTTACCTGGTTGTGGTATAGGTCAAGCAGAGTCAGGTTCCCCATTTTGCTGAAAGCATTTGAGGGGATCTTAGAAATCCGGTTCCTACCGAGGCGGAGCTGTTCCAGGCTGGCTGGGAGACCTGAAGGCACCTCTTTGAGCTGGTTACGCTGTGCATACAGGTACAGCAGTGCTGGGATCTTCTCAAACACCTGCACGAGAAATAAATACAGAAACCCTAATCTTAGTATAATTATCAGTGCTGGATGAATGAAAAATGCGACAAGATCAATGAAGAATACAAGCAAATACACTAATTCAATTCCTGAATGAATTAGTCCTTTAAGAAACCAACTGATTAGATAGATAGATAGATCGATCGATTGATCGATTGATAGATAGATAGGTACTTTATTAATCATTTGCAGGAAATTACAATGTCAAAGCAGCAACTGCAATCCCAGTCAAGACACCACACAGAAAACTAACAAATAACAAAAAATATTGTTTCAAAAAATGGTGTTTGACAAATATAAAAGGTCGATTTGATTATTTTTTGTGAGTGTGACTTCTGTTTTGTTTTTTGTAACCAAACTAGTAGTGTCTTAAATAATAAGATTTGTAACAAGGGTAGGTGTAATAAGCTAAAGCTTCAGCCTACACCTTTTCGGTCAAAATGTTTTTGTATTTTCTTGTGACTGAAATGAATGATTACTACTAAAAATAAAAATAACAAAAATAACAAATAACAAAAATAAAAATCAATTGATTGATGATTACAGGTACATTATTATTACTGTGACAATAGCAAAGTGCATCTCTAACAATAATTATATTTTTACTGTTGGTTATCCCACAATTATGTGAATATATATTTTTAATTGTATTAGTTTCATAAGGTAACTCTGTTAGACTATTTCTAATGTCCATGTATGACAACAAGTGCATAATGACCGCCTCTAAAATCAATAAATCAAAGAAGCTTCATTACCTGTTTGTGTATTTGATGAATGCGGTTATTTGCCAAGTTGATCCAGCGCACCTCAGTGGCGTTCTGGAAAGGCTCTGCTGTCAACTCTGAGATGTAGTTGTTCTGCAGGTAGAGGTAGTGGGTTCTAAATGGGATGACAGGGATCACACGGATGTTCCTGTTCTCACAATTGAGAGAATTGGGATAACTTGGGGAACATAAACACTCTCTGGGGCAGTCGGGATACATGGAGGGGGGGCCCAGGATGGGTGGTGGAAAATCTGTAGGCTCCTGGGGCTCCGGCTGTGCAGGTCCAGGAGGCCGGGGGACAAAAGGCTTCCTGGTGGTGGCTGGGCGCCTGGTAGGCTTCTTTGCCCGAGGTCTCTGGGTGAGCACTGCCCCCAGGAGGAGGAACAGCGTCAATGCAGAGAGTAGTCCCACGCCGGCCTTCATGGTCCTACAACAGAGCAAAACAGAATTTAGAGACTCTGCTGATGTACGGTTACATAATGTGAGAACATTTCTCCTCACAACAGATTACCAGCTGGTTAGCCACGTGTCTGCCTGTCCTACCCACACTATGTTACACAGATTGTTTTTGTGTTTCTGGCTCTGTTTGGAAGAAGAGAAGCAAACTAAGTTACACTTAAAACTCACAAAAGCAGCTGATTGTATTTGTAGTTGTTCTTCTTTTGGAACAGGGCTTGAGAGAATTGTTTTATCCAGACAAAACTATTTCCATTAAAATGTCCAGGAAACTAGAATCTCAAACCAACATGAATCATTAAAACAATCGTATCCATGAATACACTGAGACTGTATAACTGTTAAAAAAAAAACCATTAAGCTGGCAACTTTATCTGCCCTTTTATTTCATCTTCAAATATTACATCCTCAAGAAATATACACCAAGAGAGAGCAGTTTAAGTTCCAAAGTCTTCTTATAACTGTTTCTGTTACTTTCATCTTAAACCATGATCAGTCAGAAAACAACTTTTTAGTAGACTCTTTGCAATAACTTATTGTTGTACTGTCAGATGCATTGCTAAGTAATTGGTGTTTTAGACAAATAGAAGATTTGTGCCTGCGGTTAGGTTATGTAAGTGAAATTAAGTGAGCAAGAGAGCAGGCAGTAGAGGAGGGGTAGATACTGATACAGGAAATAAGTACTTATGAGGGAGCGAGTTTTGGGATAAGGGCTCTATTGTTGCTCCGGCCCAGAGGGAGATTTGTGAAGGGGAAAACTGCAGGTCTGGAAGGTTAAAGCTCCTTGACCCCACGAGAGAGCTCAAAGGAAACCGAGATAAATCCCACTGAGACTTTGATGGAGGCAACATGTGTCTTTAAACCATCAGAAACACAAAACTGTTGCTAGGAGTGACGAGTTCCCTTGTAGAGAGCTGACATTTACTGTAACAGCCTTTTAGGGAAAAGTAAATATTTTTTTTATTAGTGTTGTTGTGATGTGAAGTGCTTTTGGCTTATTCTATTATATATTCATATTTTAAAGCCATCAGTGTTAAAATCATAGACTGTAAATGGTTGAAATGTGAAAATATTTGAACACATTATGATTTAGATTTGTTCAAAAGTCTGAACCTTGATTAGACTAGCAGAGGCGAGTTCATTAAGGTGTGTACGATAATAAATATATATTTTTTACATTGTATACTTAAGTGGCCTTGGCTGTTATGTGTCCACAATATATAACAACCCTGCCCCAACTGAGACCGACACACGAATGCAGATGTGTAGCCTCACAGCTGTTTATGTGTCAGAGTGATTAATCCACCTCTCATGTCTTCATCTTAAACTTTTGCATGCATTTGTGTCCGTGCACTTTCCATTGTTATCTTAAGCCTGATGTTAGTAATCACCAAACAGCTGTCCAAACATTTGACATTATTCTTCTGCACAGATTCATCATTAGTTTTCAATCACTCTGCTTGAGTGAGGCACGCCAGCGGCCAGTTGATAAACATCACAAGAGAATCACGAGGCAGGAATCGGGAGTCAGTATTTGTCCTGCCTGGAAAAACAAATCTGAATATTTCTTTGACGGTGTTCCTTGGCACTGCCCTTCCTTTTCCTCTCAGCCCTCCAAGAACAGAACCAGCTCTCCTTCCTCTTGTGGTGCTGTTGTGTAAACTATGAGCCTGGCAAACAAGTGAAGGTCCTAAGTCAGAGCTGATTGGTTTGTTATTTGTAATCATATCAGTTTGAAAACAGAACTTATTAGAATATCATCATTACACATTGAATATATTCCCATTACATATCACTGCTCTTCTAATGATTTGAATGAGGAAATGGCCTTTTATTCTTAACATCATTTAAAGGACACAACACCCTATGGTCCACAGGTTGTTTGATGATTCATCTGTGACTGAATGGAAAACTACGTCTACAGATGAAGCTCAAATAATGTGATCCAAAGCTCAAGAACAGCTACCACATGGTACAGAATCCCTGGGAAACACATGATTGTTTTTTTTCCCCAAAAGAATTAATGAATTACAGATTTGGTGAGATAGTTTCTTCAAGATCTTTTGACTTCCCCCTGTAGCCTACTGTACCAGTTAGGTCACACTCGGCCATTGTCCTTTTGGCAAGGGTTCAAGTCCGACCTGTGGATCCCTTCCAGCACATCATCTGCCCACTCCCTCTCCCAATTTCTTATAGTCTGTCCTCTGTCCTATCAGATAAAGGCATAAAAAAGAGATTTCATCCCTACAAAAACACAACTTAAAGAAATGTTCCCTGAAAAGCTTTTATTCACTTGGTTCATTCATTTTAAATCACCTGTTTACTTGCAGATGTTAAGAAAACAAAAAACACTTAATGTCTTTGAAATGTTATATATATATTTTTTTCTCTGTTTAGTGGAACTATGGCTGGTAATGCTGTTGTCGAGGTTAACTCTCTTGGACTCCTGAATGACTTTTTACTTATTCCAGAAAATGGTAAATATGTTCTTACATTAACCATACCTCAAAATAAACACCTCAGAAATAAGAAATACATAAAATGTTGACTTTTCCACATTTAAGGTGTCTAAAAATGTGGAAAGAACAGGGAACTATTAACAAAGTGAGAAGTAATAAAACAATCTAAAGTATGTTTTCATTGGTGTAGAATCACCTGAAAATATGAATCAAGTCTTTTAAGTGTGCAACAACCCTTTATATCTATGTAAGGAATGAAAAAGGTTGCCATGCTGTGCTAACATGTTCTGATAGTATCCCTTTACTAAGAAACCAAATCTTTCTCTTCAGAGGGAATTTTGCTTTTTCATGAGCCTTGCATGGAGTGGTTGGTTTGGGGGAGTGAGGACAGCAGTTGTAAGTTTGGTTGTAATTTGGCCCTAAGTGTTTTTTTTTTTTTTACACCTACTGTTAGGCAAAGTTACAACTATTGGTAGAATTATAAAACTGACAGTCAAGTCCATTTAAAGACATTTCAAACTGCAACATTTTGAAAATAAAATAAATAAATAAAAAATGGTTCTAATATTGGAACCGGAAAAACAATTAAAGGTGATGGGTGGAAGCCCTCTGTAGTCCAAGTCAGAGCTGTTTTATCAAACTGTGGTTTACATTGTGAAGAAGATGAAGATTATAGAAAACATAATTCACAGTGACTTTTCAGCACAAAGCCTTTGAAGATTTGTTCTTTCCAATTCCCCTTTCTTTTTTGGCAGACAGGCAGTGTCATTCCTTCTACTGAAAATGATGAAGACCTTAAAAGTGTTGAATAAGAGCCACGTCATGCACAGCACGATTCAGAAATCTGACTCAGATCAATCTGAAAATATCTGTGACTAATCAGCACAGTTTAAAACTCTCATAATAACATAATTTATAAAATAGGTGATGTCAAAGATTTTGTATCTTCCAACTTTGAAAATAATTATCTCTATATATATATAAAAAAAAAAAAGCTAAGACCTGCCCCCCCACCACCAAAAAAAGGAAAAAAAAAACTTAACATATTAAAATTACTGGGCATACATACACTGGAAATATTTTAGAAGCATCTGCCTTCCTTATGAAACATTCATCACAAGCAGATACTCTGTATTAGAAAATAGCCAAAATATTTCCTCATGCGGGTGTGGCAGCCTCTGCGGTGCCTGTGCAAAGACTAGATCTACATCTATGAAGAGCAATATGGATGTTAGGAGCTGGAGGGGTTAGAAGATGCACCGTTGAAAGCAGAGGATGAAGTTGTTAATTAAATTAAACAAAATCATTGTATCTCGAGTCAATCCTGACTTTAGGAAGTCTGAAAATGCATGACTAAGAATATTCCTTTTCAGTTCAACTCTGATCTTTGGTCAGAACTACTTCAAGATATGTTTTCTATGAAAAACTGGATTAAAATACCACTGCATAATATGAAATCAAGCACTGCCTTGAAATTGCTTGAGGATCCGTCTGATGAGCTGCAAAAAGGAAAATTATTTCTCACAAGCCAAAGTCAGCAAAAGGGAGTCATCAGCGTGATAAGACTCTCTTCATTTATAAATATATGGGGAAGATTTTAAGAGGATTAAAGGAAATTAGAATTAAATGGGTGTGTGTTTGCAGGTATGGAGTAAATCAGTAGAATCCAAGTGTGCAGCAGCACCCTGCAGGACACAGTGCCCCTCTGTGTGGCATTGCATTTGTACAGAAACACACCAGCATGGCTTAAAGGTGCCAGTGCCAGGATTTCCCCTCAATCCAGAAACCCAAACACACATTTGCTCCTTCTGCCTCTTTTCCACAGATCAACATACACTCTGCATTTATTTTCTTATCATTAAAAGCTCATCTACACGATGAGCTGTCCCCCCCCCCGGAAAACAACACAGAAAAGTGTCTTACCTGCCTCTGGTACCTGCCCTCTTTTGTCAAGTCACAAGTTTTCTGTCTTGACTTCTCTGTACCTCTCTAATTCTTTTCCTTTCCCTCCCTCTCCCTCCCCTTCTTCCTCCGTTTCTCTGGGTCCCTCACCCTCCCCTCCCCTCTCTCTTCCTCTCCCTCCCCTGGTGGACAAGGCTGCCTGTTGGGTTTGTTCCCTGGCTCTTTTCCCTCTGAAGGTCATGGTGGTTCTTTTCTCCCCCTCCGCTTGCTCGCTCAAGCCCAGTGAGGTTTAATCTTAATTCCCTTTGGGAAGACCGCAGGCTCTTTCATGTGTCTTAACCGTGTCACAGTTTGTTAGTATTTTGTTCTGTGCCAGCATTGCATGAGAAGGTTTCTATCAAATACACAAGAAAGGATGCATATGTTTACATATTTGTGTGCATGAAAAAACAATGTTTCAGGATGAAAAGTCTGAGAACTGCTGTGGACACTGGTCCACTCTGTTAGGGAAAGCCCAGCTGAAATTGCATTTTCCCTATGGCTCCCACCCACCCAACTATTGTTTAGGTGACTGAACTCCTCCTTCACTCATGTGCTTTTCATTAGTAGCATCTCTCCATCTTTTCTTAGTCACTTACATGTCCAGCAGGATATTTTACTGCCCTCCAGCATCAGTTAAAACAGTCTGATTACTGATCCAGCTGGGGCATGCAGGAGGTGTTGTGGAGGGCTATGTGGCACTGTGTTTATCAGTGTGTGTGTGTGTGTGTGTGTGTGTGTCTGTGTGTGCGTGTGCGTGTGCGTGTTTATGTGTCACTAAGGGTTAGTACTGGGACATGTGTTTGCTTCCCTGCATTCCTGCAGAGTGAGCTGCAGCAGGAGGATAATGAGGTGAACATATGTGAGGATGAACATACATGTGCCTCCTTCCCCCACTTTCTCGCTCACTTTCTTTTTCTTTTCATAAATTCTCCTAACCGCTCTGCTGTCTACACATCTTGGATACTGAGCTCAGCTGGGCCAAACATCTGGTCCAGACTGGTCCCAACAAGAAAAGTATTTCAACTAAAAGGACACAGGGAGAGAAATGGGAGTATATAACAGATACGTCAATTTTTGGGTGGCTGCTTTTTTCTCTCTCATCTTTTCTGCTACCATAGAGGGGGAGGCCAAGAATCACCGATCAACCATAGTGACCTCATTTCCTCTAAAAGTTATTTTGTTCTGCCTGTAGGGATGACATCATTGGAAATAACTACTCATGATTTAGCTGAATGTTTCATGTATCATGTCCTTGTAATATTGTGAAAAATTGACTTAGAACAGTACAGCACATTAAAAATGTATATTTAGTATAGCATTACCGAAAGGTCATTCTTATGATGATGTGTGCAACATATTGTTGGGATCAAAAACAAAGTAGGCCTGATGCAGCCAATCATGTTCCATTATAGTAAGAGACAGAGAAACACCAGGAATAACCAGTCCCACTTTTTTAAATAAATGTGTAGGACATATTACTCCTTTATTCAGACCATTTTATTTTGGAGTCTTGGCTGATAAACACTTAGTAATCATGTTAAGTTTATCCTAAGATACGTATTAATACATTAGTGTGTAGGCCCCATTCCTTCAGAATTCTAACCAGATGCCTTGAGAGAAGAGAGATAGCAGTATAAAGCAGTTCCAACATTTTTAGAAAAAACTCAGGTCTTAGTTCAGTGAGAATTTGCCATGGACTGCAATATATATATATATATATTTTTTTTTCAAGCCATATTTCTGATTGTTGTTTCCTGAAATGCCTGATTTCACTGCAGCTTTTAAAATACATTTAGTTGTAATATTTTGAGGCTTTTTCTTTTTTCTTAACTCTTCACACACCCACACGTTGAAAGACTGGGAAAAACTCCCCAATGAAGCTCCCTGTTTGCAGAGAACAATGTTTGTCTTCTGACATCACAGCACATTTCTGTGTCAAGACTCCAAATGAAATTGTGTAAAATCATAACTATCAGGGGGATTGAGATCTTTCTGCATAAACAGTATTCAAGTTTAGCACTGACTCACAATTATTACTTAGCCATTGGTTGGCGGAAAGTTAGCAAAGTGCACAGGGATTGTTTGAACTCCTATGAATTTCCCGGGGGTTTCATTTGTATGCATACTGTAGAGAGGAGAGATATTAGAAAAACTGTACACAAAAATGTTGAAGTCATCAGACATTGGGTCAGGTCTGACTTTTCAATGCTGAACTGTAGGAGATATATTATTTTTACACATAGATATAAAGAGGAAACCATGTCTCACTGTTAAAGATTTATTTTTGGGGGGCTTTTTGTACCTTTAATGGAGAGATAGGACAGTGGATAGAGTCGGAAACCAGGGAGAGAGAGTGGGGAGCGACCTGCGGGAAGGAGGCCACAGGCGGGAAGGAGGCCACAGCCCGGGCCGCCCGCTTGAGACGACAGCCTCAATACATGGGGCGCGCGCACTAACCATTGCGCCACCAGCGCGCCCCAAAATATATATTTTTTTAATGAGCTGCCCAAGTGTAACAAAAAGCTTCTATGATAGATTTACATTTTCTACTGTAGCTTTGAATCTTATGCTAACTTAATGAGCATCATCTGTTTGTTTTAATTTCAGAACTTTGTTGCACTTGCCGTAAAGGTTTGCTATTTAAAAACAGCCTGAAACTGTATACGCCCAATGCTGGTGTAAAGGCAGCAGTTTGTTTTTCTATGGAACAGTTTAATTCATTTTCTATCTCTTAAACATTTACACTTTAGCTGCTGCAGGAAACAAGCCCCTGCCTTTAAGACATTATTTATTGCTTCAGGTTTTCTGTCAAACTTTGACTTTTGTGTCTGTGTCCATCAAAATGTTTCTATGATTCTTCCTGTATTGTGCATGCCATCCCAGGAATGTGTTTTTATGTATTTTGTTTCACAGTGTGTTAAATAGAGCTCACAAAGCTAACTTTGAGGATTAAACTGTGCGGTGTGTTTTTGCTTGTTAAAACTAGGTCAGATTGGCTGTGGAATGTGACTGTTTGGTCTTCAGCCTTCAGATACTGATCATGTGGACTGACATGGTGGGTTGTTCTGTTTTCAGGGCTGTATTCAACCTGTTTAAGAAGAGTGATGTTTAAAATGTGAATAACCTTTAATTGCAGGAAATCTGAAAGCAGAAGTCCTCATTGATAATTAATAATGAAGCAGCTGTTTTTCCAAAGAGAGCGAGACAGGCTCCAGCTCACGACGACTTGGTTTGTATAATAATGTGAGAACCTTCTAAGAACGATGTGTTCTGTCATCTACAATCATTTGGGTGATTGGACTGTTGGATTTAAAGAGACGTGCATGAGCCTAAGACAGACATGTTCCCAGAGGAAACACAGTCAGGGGAAAACTAATTTTCTCCCCAACATTTACAGGCTTCTTTTCCATGCATTGCCGTGCTAAAACAAGATGATACAGTATCCCCTACACCAGGGATTCTCAAACTTTTTTGGCTCGTGTAACCCCTTTCAGAGTACCCCCTTGTCCGGCCAAGAACATTTTTCGTCTTCCACCTCATTTTCCCCAACAGATTTGTTACCTCGTTTTAACAACCTGTTCATTTTTATCTTCCTGGCTGCGCTCTTGCTAGCATGCGAACGTACATGCTTGCTCGCTGAACAATTCACATCAACAGACGGAGGCCCTCTGGTTGAAGGGGCTCAGCACATAATGCAAGCTATTTTATAAATGAATATCCTCAAGATGGAAGTAGTGCCCTATTTGAAGTTGCATAGAGAACATAGGCTGTTAATTAAGTTGTCTTAAATCAGTGTATGGATTTTCCTATAAATCATTAATTTGGCTTGTTGTGATGCAACTTTTCTTTTAATTAAATTTGTCACGTGCCCCTTGCAGTACTACCACATACCCCCAAGGGTACATAACAACTTACAAATGTTAAAGACTTCCTCAAACCTAACCAACAAAATGTATAGATCATAGGGTCCAAAAACAATATATAAAACCCCTTGACAGGAATATGTGGTTAGCCTTTTGAAACGATTGCACACTAAAACATCTTGGTAAGGATGAGATGAAGATCAGTGTTTGTGTTAAAATGACTATAGTTACGAAGTCAAAGTAAACTATTTAAGTAACATTACGCACCTCATGTTTATGTCCATTTTGACTTTAAGTTGGAAAATGAACCTTGATGAAAGTGAAAGCCAATCAACCACTGAGACATCCTCCTAACACACACTATATACTGTATTCACGTTACAGGAACACCTACAAGCTGTTGGATTGCCTGCATTCTGCCAGGCTGAATGGCAACCCATCGAAGTGTGTCTTTGCTGCTGCAGAGAGAGAGTACCAGGGCCACGTCATCTTCAATGGGGTTATACACCCTCAGGTCAACAAAACCCAGGCCATAGAGTCCTGTCCCCTGCCACAAACAAGGAAGAAGCTCCGATCCTTTTTGGGCTATCCGGCTTCAATCACCGCTTCACACCTCATTTCTCCAACAGGCAGCTCTTCTGACAGACTTGACTAGATCCCAGAGTCCCAATCAGATCCAGTGGACAGAGGAGGCAGTGGCAGCTTTCAGTGATCTGCAAAATGATGCTGACAGGGGTTTGGGAGCTGTGCTACTCCAGGGACTTCAGGATGATCGGCATCCAGTCGCCTACATAAGCTGGAAACTGTTCCCAAGAGAGGTTCGGTATTCGATGGTGGAGAAGGAGGCACTGGCTATCAAGTGGGCCCTTGATTCCTTCCGATACTACCTTCTTGGTCGAGAGTTCACCTTGGAGAGGGATCACAAGGCCCGTTTGGTTTGTAAACTTGGTTTTCTATTTTTGGGTAAAATAAAAACCTACCTTTTCTTTAAACTTACTCCTGATTCTCATGCCTTACTGCTCGGTCCCTAACAGTCCCCCACAAGAGAATCCTTCTCACCAGGGTAAGAGTGTTTAAGGCACATTACAAGTGAAGGCCTGTGTCTGGCCATGAAATGTTTGTCTGATTTCACCTATGGCTTTAATGATGTCACCAAAAAAAGGAGCCGTGCTGTTTGTGTGTTTCAGGATTATTCTC